TTCTGAACCAGGTCAAAGAACTCTCCCTTGAATTCAGTGCCCCCGTCAACCAACACAGCTAGCGGTGCTCCGAAGTACCTATACCAACAGTCTCTATGCACATGTAGTGTGTTGCGCTACAAGATAGTGAACTTCTCCAGCCACAGTCCTCGGCCCAATCAAGTCTAGTGAAACCAATTCATTGAAGCAGTCTCTGTCCAGAGCCCCCGGGCTTCGACACAGCTACCGGTGCGCGAAACAAACGACGACAAAGTAGACAGTCTCGGCAGAAGTCTTCTACGTCCTTCGTTATGCCCGGCCACCAGAAGTAATTGGTCACCAACCTCAGCATCCTCTTTACCCCCGGGTGTCCTCCAACCCGTCCTCCAACCCGTCCGTAATGATGGTACGCCATTAGGTCTCTCCTACACTCCATCGGCACATACGCACTGCCGGTACGATCCCTCACCCACAGCCCGGTGCTTTGTGGATACGCTTCTGCACGTTTTCATCTTCTCTGGCTAATCTTTTCAACCTTTCAACTAGTGACACTAACAAGCCCTCATCTTGTTCGGCTTCCGCACAGTACGCCACCCTTAGCTCTGGATTCATCTGAATTCGATCCACTAACGTGTCCTCCCCGACATCTTCTCGTAAGTTCGCTCTAGACAACCAGTCAGCCACCACGTTCTCGGTGCCCTTCAGGTACTCTATCTTAAAGTCGAACTGTTGTAGGAACAACGACCACCTTGCTAGCTTCCCTTTAGTAGAGTTAGCCAAATACAACAGGTGTGGCTGTGTCCTTCTGCGGTCGAGGACTTGCTCACGTGGGGCGGTGAGCCTTGTACGCTGCGCTACGACTTCTGAGTCGTACTGAGGTACGACACTGTGACACTTCACAGGTGTGTGTGAGGGCTGATGGCCCGAGTCGATAAGGATCTAGTCCGAGGACCAGGATTGGCTGCAGTGTAGATGTGGTCAGGTGCAAGGACGATAATGACGGGCGTGAGCGGAGAAGCTTGTTCGAGATTCTATAGGCCCAAGGAAGATGCCAAACGTGCTGGCTCACACGAGTACGAGTTGACTCGCTGAAGTTGTATGACTCGTGTTGAAGGACTCGTGTTGAAGGACTCCTGTTGAAGGACTCCTGTTGAAGGGTTGAAGTCCGATCCGGAGACAGACAGAGAACTCGACAAGATGAAGTGGTACTTAGGATTGACGCAGAGCGTCCGAGTGCGAGTTTACTAGTGGAGGTCCTCAGTGGGATAGTGTCTCCGATGTGGCGAGACCGTGTTCAGAAGGTCACGCGTGGCCACCCGGTTGGTTGACCGTCATAAGCGCTTCGATCGAAGAAGAGAAATCCGGGCGATGAGTGGAGAGTTGAGTCGGTTGCAGTGGCCTGAAGATGTAACAACCTCGTTCGCATAGTCGTCCCCGTTCCCATCGTCGTCCCCATTGTCATTGCCGGTAACCCACTCCCCATTCACGGCACTGCAACACTCGACAAGGCCACCCGAGTCTACTCCATCCCAAGTATTATTTCTACAAAAACGGAACCCCCTCCCACTCAATGACCACCGTGAAAATCCTCTGGCAACCACCCGTCAACAGCCACAATCTTCGGCAACCACCTTCAGCAACCACCACCACGATCTTCCCGTTGGGCAACCTTAGTTTCGGTAGACAACGACGGTTCCTTCGGCAACGATCGGCTTTAATCGCGGTCGTTGGGCAACAGTGCGTGGGCAGGGTTGTTCAAGAACGATCTTTCGGTAGCGAGAGCTGACGGAACCAGCGGCAGCCTTTGGTCGGTGTTTTGTCCCTTTTCGATTTACCGGTCTTGGAAGCCTTATCTTGAGTTCTGAGGTCGCCGCGGGAGGCGCGGTTGCTGTTGGCTGCGAGGCACAGAAGCAGGTTGGGTGTGGCGGCGGGTAGTGAGAAGGTCTGAGGTGTGTCATCGATGTCGGTGCAGCCGACGACGCAGTAGAAGGGGAATGCCTTAGTGAGATCGTCAAGTGTGCGGCAGGGGAGTGGTTGGAGTCCCGGTGGTGCGGCGGTCGCGTAGAGCTTGACCCAGTTGCGCAAAGCAAACTGATGGCGGGATGTGAGGCCACAGGCATCGGGATATTCTTCTGACATCACGTGAAGGGTCTCAATCAACTGGGTCACAGTCGCCAACAAAGGGGCCTCCACTGCTGACTCATAACGGTCCAACAGAAGGCGCACACGCCCCTCTAACACTGAAGCCGGCAACAAACACGCGTGACCTGTCCCGACTGACACACGCGGCAAATTCTTCAACAACGACAAACCTTCCGCCAACGCACGTCGTCGGGGAGCTAATGCCGCCCTCCCACCACACACGCGGTAAGCCAGGTCCAACTCGGCTGCATCCAACCATGTCTGACCCACTGCCACCCGCAAAACCACTGCCAACCGAGCCGCCAAAGACTCTTGTCCGCTACTCGCAGACTCTGCCACAAACGACTTCATCCAAAAATTAAACCCGTCTCGGGACGGGCGGGATTTAGTCGACACGGAATTAGGCCGGGACGGAATTAGGCCGGGACGGGATTTAGTCGGGACGGAATTTGGCGGGACGGAATTTGGTCGGGATCGTCGACAGAGTAGGCACCGTGCGTCCCGCTGTAATGAGCGAGCCCCGGTGCAGTAGATGTTCAAGGCAAAGTGTGCCTGCCGGAGCAGTGTCCCACCCCAATGCGACGTGGGTCAAAGCGACGTCCGTGAGTAAGTCAGTCCAATGTCTGAGAGCAAAAACTAGCATGTGCGGCCGATTCTGGGGTCTGACCTCGTCGTGGCTGGCAGTGTGATTGTGTGCGGGCTGCCTTCAGCGTCTCTCCATTCGACTTTTCGCCAGCGTCTGAAGATGAAGGCGATGTCCCAGATATTGCGGGGGAGCGGTGAGTGAATGTAGCGTTTGTGGTGGGGCGCGTGTTCGTGAATCCAGCGGCACACGTCGGCCTGTTGCTCGTGGCTGACGCAGCAGTCATCGGGGCCTACGTGTGCGGCCTCGTTCAGTGTGGCCAAAAACTCAGTGACGGCCTCTAGGAACGCTTCTTCCACCAACGGCGATCTCAGCGCCTCGCGCACGTTCGTCTCCATATTATGCGGCAACGTCGCCCACGGTGTCTGCGGCGGCTTGCCCACCTCCGTATGCGGCAGACTCTCGATCAATGCCAAGCCCGTCACCAAAGCTTTACGCGACGCACTCGGATGCCCAGACACACACGGCTCCATCAAGCGCATCGGCGCCGCGTCCGCCCACGCCGCGTCCACACCCACCGTAAACACCGTCGCCAGAGATACAAACATCTCCGGCTCACTCGATATTACTTCCAAACACTTCATCCAAAATTTTTGACCGTCGGGTAAGAACTCGTTTTTGGTGAACTGCTTTCCGTTATCAACCTGCTCTCGATAATAAAACGGAGTGCATCGACTTGCGGACACACGTGTGTAAAGTTGCCAGACAAACTGACCTCTCACAAAAAAGACTGACCTCTCACAACCACTAACGCGCCGTATCATTCTCACAAGGCCGTTTTGGTTGGTTCCTGATCCCAAGCGTCCTTCGACAAGCGCTCCAAGGAACGCAAGGACAGCTTCAAGGAACGCAACGACAGCTTGTATGAATGCGGGTTCCTGACCGCGTTTGCGTTCCTGACCGAGAAGGAGTTCGAGCACTGGGTGGAGGCGAGTTGATGCCATATATACTCGTCGCCAGTATGGCGCTGCCGTCGTGCTTGGATGAAATGTCAGCAGTGGAGCTTTAAGGGGTTATCCGGTGCAACCATCTCGTGTGGGTATGTCGAACCGTACTGCGCGTTCGGATGCAGACAGGGACCTCAGACAGGGTCAGACAGGGGTGGGTGTACTAAAGGGTTGATCAGGTTTTTTGTAAAATGAAGGTGAGGTAAGAACATTACTGTTCACCACCAAGCGACCACCAGGGTCACCACAACTGCTGGGCGGCTCTCGCGGGTAGAAGTGAATCTTGTAGAC